CTTAAATTGCTGACATCACACTTTCACACAGAAACAAACCAGGAATTTCAGGTGACTGACTTGCATGTATTCAAAGTACCTCCAAAACAACACTGAAAAATAGGCTTGCACACCAACCAAATACACAAAAAAAAACAAAAAAAAAAAAACAGGATTTTTCTTCCCAGATTTCAAGAAACAGGCTAAATCTGGCAATTCATTTATTATAATCAGGTTAATGTGTTTGTGATTTTACATGAACAGAATGTGACCAATTCTAATTAATATTTGAATATTCTTGTGCTTTAAACTCAGTTATTCAGCATTTATTCTTCTTTAATTATATCATAATTAGAGAAGGCGACTGAAGTTCTCGCTCTCCAAACCCCGCTAAGGACTGTAACCCTGCAGGGCAAGGCCCAGCCTGCTAGCGGTCTCCCATTACAGTACACATGAATAGGGACTGCTTGGTGACAGGTGTCTGGGAAAGCTGCACAGTCAAGGAACCGGCTGTTCCTCTGGCCTGATGCCACTGTGGGAACTCCTACGAACACATCCTTCCCTGTCTGAGTTCACGGACACACGGAGCATTAAAACCACAAAATCATCCGACATGACTGTACTGGGTGCACGTTATTTAAATCAGGGGTTTACAGGGGGCCATAAAAGAGTGCTGGGGGTCATTGGAAAATGTAGAGAAAAACAATAAATTAAAAAGATTAAATCAAAAAATAGATTAAAATAAGTAGAAAACCAACTAAATAATAGTAACTAAATGACATTTGGGAGGAATTTGAGGGTCCCTTGAACAAGATGGATGAACAAATATAGAGGTCCATGGTATCTCAAAGATTGAAAACCTACGATTCTGTCAATAAAGTACACACCAACTCATTGATTTAAGTTAAGAAAGAGCTTTAAAACCACATCGTCCAACGTGACTGTATTAAATGGATAGTTCACTCAAAAAGGTAAATTAGCTTGTGTTTTACTCACCCTCAAAGCATCCTAGGTGTATATGACTTTCTTCTTTCAGACGAATCCAATCGGAGTTATATTAAAAATTGTCCTGGCCCCTCCAAGCCTTTCAATGGGGCTAAGCGAATGTTGGTTGTCAACAGTTCAGAAGACGTGAAATAAAGTGTGCGCATCCGTAATAAAACGTCCCTCACACGGCTCCGGGGGGTGAATAAAGGCCTCCTGTAGCAAATCCATGCATTTTTGTAAAATAAATATCCATATTTCAAACTTAAACACTTTTTTCTCATTTCCGCTGACTGTGGTACGCAGAAGTCGTTCAGGCGGATGACGCAAGATGTATGCGTCGTGCGCGCGCCTCTGAGAAAAGCAGGAGCAAAGTTTCCTTATTTTAGCAAAGGAAAACCAGTCTCCTCTTGGCTTATATCGAAATCCTCTGACATTCTTCTTTACAAATCCTCGTTTTGTACTTCTAATTCTTGACTGTTGTTTTCAGTTCAGAAGACGTGAAATAAAGTGTGCGCATCCGTAATAAAACGTCCCTCACACGGCTCCGGGGGGTGAATAAAGGCCTCCTGTAGCAAATCCATGCATTTTTGTAAAATAAATATCCATATTTCAAACTTAAACACTTTTTTCTCATTTCCGCTGACTGTGGTACGCAGAAGTCGTTCAGGCGGATGACGCAAGATGTATGCGTCGTGCGCGCGCCTCTGAGAAAAGCAGGAGCAAAGTTTCCTTATTTTAGCAAAGGAAAACCAGTCTCCTCTTGGCTTATATCGAAATCCTCCGACATTTTTCTTTACAAATCCTCGTTTTGTGCTTCTAATTCATGAACGGTGTTTTGTTTGGTCTCCGCGTTCGTCACTAATCACGCAACGTCGACGTCTTACGTCATCCCGGGCGGTACGGCTTCAGTCAGAGAAAAAGTAATATGGATATTTATCTTACAAAAATGCATGGATTCGCTACAGGAGGCCTTTATTCACCCCCCGGAGCCGTGTGAGGGACGTTTTATTACGGATGCGCGCACTTTATTTAACGTCTTCTGTGTTGACAACCAACACCGCTTACCCCCATTGAAAGGCTTGGAGGGGCCAGGACAATTTTTAATATAACTCCGATTGGATTCGTCTGAAAGAAGAAAGTCACATTCACCTAGGATGCTTTGAGAGTGAGTAAAACACAGGCTAATTTTCATTTTTGGGTGAACTATCCCTTTAATTACTAGTCCGTGTGACATCAGTGGTTCAAACGTAATTTTACGAATAATCAATGTAGTCAGCGTTGTTTACGTTCAGTAGACAGCGTGCGCATGCTGAACGTGAACAACGCTGATTATGTTGATTACGTTCTGGGGTACTCTCCAAAATGGTGGAAGACACTAACTCTGGGAGAAGAATTGGTGAATAAATTATGTTATTATTGTTTTCTTTGCGCACAAAATGTATTCTCGTAGCTTTGAAAATGTATGGTTGAACCCCTGATGTCACATGGACTATTTTACTGATGTCCTTGCTATGTTTCTGTGCGTTGATCGTGGTAATATCCTTGCTGTCTGTGGAGGGTCAGAGAGCTCTCAGATTCCATCAAAAATGTCTTCATTTGTGTTCCGAAGATGAATGAAGGTCTTAAAGGTTTGGAACGACATGAGGGTGAGTAATTAATGACAGAATTTTCATTTTTGGGTGAACTATCCCTTTAATGTATGCTAGTGCACTTCATTTAAAATCAGGGGCTTACAAGGGCCACAAGAGTGCTGGGGATCCGTGGCAATTTTTGAGGAAAAACAAGAAAAGATTAAAACAAGAAAATGAGTAGAAATGCAACTAAATAATAGTAACTAAAATAGTTATACCTGACATTTGGGGGTCCCTCGAACGAGGTGCATGAACAAATATTGAGGTCAGTTGTAATTAAAACATTGAAAACCTACGATTTAGTCAAAGTAAACGCCAACTCATTGACGTTAAGAACCGTCGGTAGTAATGACGTATCGTGGCGGTCAAGAGTAGATTCGGGTTCGGTTCCGCCGTTGCCTTGGTAACGCGCTGA